ACAAGCCGTGTTTGCCTCACAGTCCCTTGTTTTCGGAAAACAGTTGGCGGACTGAACTGAATAAATACAGCATGTTGCCTACTTACCAATAAATATTTGTTCATTCATTCAATAAATGATTTTTGAGCACCTACTGTCCTCCAGGGGCTGGAAATACAGCATGAATAAAACAGACATAGACCTTCTACACATGAAGGTTTGGGATGGGAGGTAGACCATCAGAATTAAACAAACAGATGAAATAATTTCAGACATTAAGAACACAGGGTGGCGAGAGAGAAAATGACAGTGGGGAGGAGGCTATTTTAGAATGCGTAGGTAAAGCCTCAAGTGACATTGCAGCCGAAATCTGAATCACCCAAAGGAACCAGCTGCCAGAAGATGTGAATGCAAAAGTCTTCCAGGGAGTGAGAATAGCATGTGCAAAGGCCCTGAGACAGGAACGTGTTTGACAATTTCAGGGAACTGAGGAAAAGCTGATGAGAAAGTCATGGTAATGAGCATGGTATAAAGGCAGGGACCAGATTTATTATGAGAATCATCACATGTAACATTGTAGAGTGTGTTATAGTTTGCACAAGGCTTTGAACACACATTATCTCGATTCTATCATCCCAACATTCCTATTTAACTTCCTCAGGGTCACAAAACTAGGAAGTGGCAGACAGGGACTCTGACCAAGAACTCTGTTTGCACAACTCCAGAGGGCACTATCCATGCAGCAGGGGGAGTCATTCATATCATTGCTTGGAGTTTGTGCAGTGCACAGCCTGTGCCACTGTGCATAGTGACCCTATGCTAGCTCAGGTCTATTTTCTCCAAATTTCTGTGCTTTTTCTGTGCTAGGGACCGTTGGGAATACAAAGAATAAAGATATTATTCTAGTCCTTGGTAAGCACATGATGCGGTTAAAGAGAAACAATATATGAAGAGATAGTGGATGATATAAGACAGTTTTTGTTTCTGGCAAGAATATTATGAATAATTTAGTAGGGGATACAAGATTTGAAATTGGCTTGAAGATTTAGATTGGTGGACATACAGAAAGAGAAATCCATAGGAGTCATCATACACACACACATGCAATAAAACCTAGTGTGTTGTAGACCACCATAAGAGCTCGCCTCCAGCAATTTGTGACTAAAAAAAAAAGAACGTTTATTATCCTATCATATAAAAGACAGAACCATACAGGTAAAATTTTGGCAAATCTAAGAGGAAAAGAAATCATCTATAATCTCATTAATGAAACACAACTGCTTTTCACATTTTAGTGTATTGCCTCTGGTTTTTCCTCTTAGGCAAGCAATGTATGGGTGTGTGTGTGTGTTTATGACATGTATGTGAATGTATGGATATGTCATACATGTCATATATACACCTACCATAAATACACACACACACCCACACACATATTCTTACCTTTGTTGAAGTATAATTTACATGTTTTAAAATTCACACATTTTAACCGTGCAGGTTGACGAGTTTTGGCAAATACAAGCACCTGAGTAACTGCCACTATGCTAAAGATCTAGAACATTCCTTTACACCACAACTTCCCTTACCCCATCAGTCACTCCCCTACCCTACCCCATGGTCTCCTCCAGGCAATCACTAACCTTGTTTCTGCAGCCTTAGACTAGTTTTGCCTACTCCAGAACTTCATCGAATCAGGTGTATACTCTTGTCTCTGGCCTCTGTTCAGCGTGTCTCTGAGGTTCATCACGTTAGGAGTTTGTTCCTTTTCTTTGCTGACTAATATTCCGTTATAACTATATACAAGAACTTGTTTATTCATTTGCCCATTAAAGAACATTTGGGTTATTTCTCATTTGGGGACATCATGAATAAAGCAGCTATGAACAATCTTGTACATCTGTGGAGGTGTTTTCATTTCTCTTGCATAAATACCTGGGAGTCGATTTCCCAGGCCATTTAGTAGATCTGTGTGTTTAAAGAAAACTACCAAGCATTTTCCAAAGTGGTTGTACCATTTTACAACATATGGGAGTTCAGCTTACTCCACATTCTCACCAACACTTCCTAGAGCTGTTCTTTTTCATTTCCCTCATCACTAATGATGGGGAGCATTTTTTTCACAGGCAAGCATTTCCATAGTTGTAATTCTTTGTAGCCTCTGCTTTTTAAATTTACACTTAATATCACCATTCTTCTCTGTTTCCCCGAAGTCTTCATGACCATTATATTAATGGCTCCTAATCCTCTGACACGGGGATTCTCTACAATTTATTCAATCATTCCTCTGTTAGACATTTAAATGATTTCCAATTTCCCACATTTCAAAGTAACACTGAAATGAACACATGAATGTCTATGTTTCCCCCATATTTTCAACGATTTCCTTTAATCACAAAAATAAGATGATCAGGCCAAAGGCATTTTACACTCTCAAAGTGTAAAATGTGAGGCAGACATTGAGGCTGCTGTCTTTGAAGGCACAAACTCAGCCCCCCGTTCTCATCTCTCAGCTCTGTGTTGAGGTCTTGTCATTGGGCCCCTTCCTGTATGTGATCTTTTTGTCTGGAGGCAGGGCTAATGGCTATTTGGTAGCCATGATTTTTTGAGTCCTGAGCAATGCAGAAAAGGTTGATGCTATCATCGACACAATGCTCCAGTACAACAGGCTTCGTTCCCCCTCTTGCCGAGTTGAAATGCAGGAAAGAAGAGGTGGGGTACCTGGTCCCCTGAGAATGATCTGTGAAGGTGCCCAACTAAGTAGCGACTTGGGGCCATTCACTGGCAGTTCCCTGATTTCTGTACACAAAGTGTCCGACTGAAGGGGCCAGGAACATGATTTGAAGAGTGTTTTGATGCCATGTGGAGTGTTTTCATTTGGATTGTATGTTTGTATGTAGGGGGTCTCTGGGAGGACTGACGCTGATGATGGGGAGGGGTATGTGGAAGGAGTTGGGGGACCACACCACTTCAAAGGCAAGGGAGGAGTTGGATCAACCTTGCTATAGTATAGGTGTGAGGCTAGGCATAGGCATGGCATGGGCATGGGCACCTAGGGAAGCACATTAATCCTATTAGGACAGCAGGGACCTTCATCAACTCTTTCCAAGGATCCAACAGCCCCTCAAACCTAGCAAGAGCCATATTTTATATGGTTCCAGGTCTACCTCCATATTCCTGTTTCAGGAAGAATTGTCCAGGGAGATAGAAGCAAGAGGAATTTGCATAGCAAATCAGTCCCCTGTGGGTACCCCATTCAGTCCTGCCTATGTGGAAGAAAAAGCCTTTGGGCCAGGTTGCCAGGCCCTGTCTTCCCCCTGGCCTCCCCCTGAGAGTGTCATCTGAGTGCCTACATTTCCTCAAGGCACCGTTGATGACCCTCCAAATGGCAACCAGCAGACATTTACCAGCAATTCCCAGAAATTCCTGATTGTACTAAAGCCACGGTATGTGTCTTTCCCCCGCTAAATGTGAACTGACCAAGGACAAAAACCATTCCTTATTCATGATGTCTTAGTCTGGGTTCCCCCCCAAAACAGATCTTGAGAAGAGGATTCAAGGACAAGTTGTTTATTTAGAGGCAATCCCAGGAAACTCTGACAGAGGGGTCGGGCAGTGGGCCAGGAGAGGGAGGGCAGCAAGATAGGGTGTGTTATCAAGCCAGTTACCACTGTGGGCAACTGAGGCTCGGTCCTGTGGAGACTTCTGGAAGATGGCACAGAGCACGCCTCCAAGCTGCTCTACCCGAGCAGGAGGGAGCTGGGGTATTTATCCACCAACCCCTATCACTCATTGTGGAGGAGGTTCCTGGGGAGACTTTAATCCCTGGGCTCCCAGATGCACTCCCTGCAGGCACGGGGGGCTCCAGCAGCCGGGGAGAACCCCCAAACAAAGAGACACAGGTACTGGTGGCTGGAAGTCAGACCACCTTCCTGCACAGAAGTGGTAAAGCCAAGAAGCTGTGGGCAGGGCACAGACATGAGCTGTGCCTCCCCGACGTGGCTCAGTGCTGGCAATGAACAGATTCTCAATAAAGTGGGTTGGCTGAACCCAGAGGGCTCAGCTAGCTTTGGCCCCAAAGCTATATCTTCTTTTTGTTCTCCAGCCACCCCTGACTACTGCCATCAGCGGGCCATGTTATTTTAGGATCAAACCCAGAAGACAAACACCATTACATTTTTGAGCAATACTTTTTAAAGTGCACTTCCTGGACCAGCAGCGGCAGGAGTACCTGGAAACTTGTTAGAAATGCAGATTCTTGAGTCCTACCCCAGACTTACTGAAGTCAGGAATTCTGGGGAGCGAATCTGTATTTTAACAGGTCCTCCAGCTGATTCAAAATGAACCCTAAAGCTTGAAAACCACTGTTGAGACTCTAAAATGTAGGCTAGTCTCCAAGGCAAGGCCATTTGCTCTTTGGTTAGAATGCTTCCCGCTCCCAACCTCAAGCACCAGAGAAGCAACTGGCCCCTTTTGTGGGTTTTCCTTTTCTTTGGGAGGGGGGCTTATTAAATAGGAATTGTACCTAATTATCAGTCACCTGCAGAGGGAAGCAGCGCAGGCATAGGAAACTATAGAAGGTACCCTGAGAGGCATCCATGTCGGGTCTGACCAAGGAGAGAGGGTGGGGGAGATTTACATTTTCCTGTTTGTTTTCTGAGCTAATATTTAAATTCTTCTGTTTGCCTCTGAACACACCAGTTGGGCGGTGGGGGAATAGTCATGGGTCTGCCCTGGACTTTTAAATCAATCATAGAAAATGCGCAAAGGAAGAGTTAAGGGTTGGGGGTCCCCCCGCCTTGAAGTCAATTTGTGTGGGAAAAATTAAAAGAGGTACTTGTTTCACTTGTGTTGACCCAAACGAGGCGGGGTAGGGGACGCACTGCACTGGGGTCTCAGTGCCCCAGCTGTATCATTTCTTCAGGAGGGGCTCCCTGCGCCCTGACACCAGCAGTGACGGCGGGCCTTGTGGGGGACCCCAGTGGTGTGACATCACAATGTGGCCCCATTCAGGATCTCAGAACTGACTTGCCCCTACACCTAGGATATAAACTTACCATCCTAGGGCCGGCCTGCACTTACAAGGCCACGGCAACCGAGACAAGCTGACCTGCCAGGCACTCCTGGTGAGTATTCAGACACTCTGAGAACCATGGACAGAAACACAGCTGCTGGCTGGCTGGCCTAGTGCCTCAGGGTCCCACACTCAAAGCTGCAGACCCACTGGGGCGTCCAGCAGTGTGCCAGGACAAGCCTGAGCCCTTCCCAGAGAAGCGGGCTCACCTGACACAGACACCCCTCTCCTGACCTTGTTGTGCGGGTTGCCATCTGCAGGAACTGATATTCTAATCACCTCCTGGGCCCAGTCTGCCACCTGCCTCAGCTCCCAGGACAAAGGTCATCTGGATGCTCGATAGAGGCTCTGGGGCAAGGAGGCCAGGTTCTGAGATGGCGTCGCCACTAGAGAATCACTTGAGTCCATGCTGGGGACAGAGGCAGCCACTGGTCCAGTGATACCCTCACAGCAGCGTGAGTAGGTGGATCCTCGCTGGCCGCTGGAGGGAGGCCGAGACCGCCTCCCCTCGGACCACGTGCACGACGGCCTTCCTCTCGGCACACTTTGCCTTCTCTCTTGGGCTGTTTTTAAATCCACCTCCCAGTGGTGCCCAGTGTATCAAGTCTCTTCCTTCCCTCTTGGGACAGAGAGAGAGATTTGAGACCATTATGGGAAGTGGGTAGATGGGTGAGAACACCGGAAGGGCGGGCAACAGGGAAGAAGGTGCGGGGGTAAGGGGTGGTGAGGGCAGGAGGCTGGCTTTTTCCCAGCTGAGTCACCAGCCGTGGCTTGAGGGTGGTCCCGGGCCCAAAGGTCTTCAGCAGCCAACAGTGGGGATGGGCACCGGGGGCACCAGGAGGCAGAGCCTGCCTCCCCCACTGCCCTGTCTGCCCATTGGCTCCCCACATGGACCATTTGCCATCTGTAGGAACCAGCGGGTGTGCACAGGTGCAGAACAGCTCACACGCAGGGGTGGTTTGTTGAGAGCCCATGATTTTGAGCCCTCATTCGGAAAGGAAAGGAACAAACACTAAGCATCTACTACGTTTCAGACCCACTATCCCTGTGATTGCTCTCAATTCCTGCCACCAGGAAGGTGAAGTATGTGTTTTCATGCTCATTTTATAGATTTGGAAACTAAGAACTATGTGCTGGGTTGGGTGCCACGTTTTAAGAGGGACATTAGCCTAGAATTTCTATACACTCCGTATGCGGACGAGCATACCCACAGATTAGAGTGCTCTGAAAATAGAATGGGCTCCTTTAGGAGGCAGCGAGAGTACCTTTGGAAACATCCGGGCAAACCGGGTGCCTTCCGTCAGCAGGGCTGGGACAGGATCCTTGTGATCTGTCGGGAACTGAACCAAAAGCTCTTTAAAAGCTGTTCCAAATCCCAGATTGCAGGATCTGGGTCTCAAAACCTTGTTCACCTTCCATGTTTGAACCCAAATGGGTCAGGCCTTCCAGGGGGGCTGCAAACTTTTTTAACAGGGAAAACTTGCAAGGAACCATAGAGACCAGCTCCCCCAACCCGCAGGTAGGAAGCAGGCAGCCAGGCTGGTTCTGGGGGGTGATCCAAGGCCACAGAGCCAATTCCCAGCATGAATACGTGTTGAATGAATGAATGAAGGGATGACAGTGCCAGGACTGGAACCAGTCTGAATGCTGATCAGACATCCCTTACTTAGCCCATCTCTCTCCCTCTCCCGAAACTCTTTCCTGCGAAGATTATGATTCAGCCAACACTTACTGAGCACCGACTGTATGCCAAGTGTGTTCACCAAGATGATTTCACGTAATCTGCCCTCACCCATCAGGTGGTGTCATCATCCGCATTTCTCAGACGACGATGGTTGGGTAACTGCCCCAAGGGATAGGGGACTTGGGGAGCCGCCACGAACGATAATGACAATGCAGCTCTCGCCAACTCCAAGGAGAGCAGGCACCTCCACCTGTCGCCTCCCAGCCTGTGCAGGGAAGCACTTCCTTATTTATCCTCCCCAAGGACAAACTGCTTGTGACTTGCCCAGCTGCTCAGGGGCTATTTTACCTCCTCTTCGGCTTCGTCCTGGCTGCCGTTGGGCTCCCCGTGGGACTGCCTCCTTCACCGCCTGTGCCTCTCGCCGTAACAGGACAAGTTGGAGTGACTGTTTCCACACCAACAGATGTTATGCGCCAAGGAAGAAAATATGCTAATCAAAATCAGCTTTGGCTAATTGTAGCAATTTCCCTTCTGCGCATTGCCCTGAAATAGTAGCCACGCTCTGTTCTTTTTTCACATCAGGGAGCCCCAAATTGGCAGCTTAAATGAGGTTGCAAAGAAGTCAGTTAAACAGGCCTTTTTGCTGCCAGTTACCATGGATGAAGCCGTGAACATGCTCTCCTGGTAAGACCCCAGTTCAACCATTCGGGGATTTGGCACCTTGCTGTGGATAATTCAGACCCACTGTTGGGCTGCGAGAACCTCATTTAATCCTGGGGAAAAGCAGAACCTCAAGGGACTTAATGAAGTGCCAAGCTCAAAAGCACATGGTCTGACCTTGAAGCCTAGTTTACTCGTGGTTTGTTCTATAGCTAGCACCAGCCGATAGTGTTTTCCCCACTGAGGGAGATATTCGCATCTGTGCGGTCCCATATGGTAGCCAGGAGTCATGTGTGGCTGTTGGATTCTGGAAACGTGGCTAGTGGGACTGAGGAACTGAATGATCAATTTTAATTTTAACGTAAGTTTGGCTTAAAACAGCCTTGTGTGGCTAGTGGTCCGGGTGGCTGTAGCCCTGCCAACTTTTGTGACTTCATCTCTTGACCTTGTTCCCCTCTCTCCAGCCCCCCCACATGGCGGCCCCCTCCCGCTGAATTCACCAGCCAGACCTTCAGCCTATGCCTCTAACAAGCCAAGTTGTTCCCTTGGGGCTTTGGCAGCATCGCCCTGCCCTCTGGTCATTTTACAGTTTGCCCCTGTCCACCATCACCGCCTCAGATCAAGAGTGTTTCCTCAGAGCACCCTTCCTGACCTTGTCTGATATCGTCCCCAGCGCCACTCCCAACTGCTCCTGATTTCTCCGAAATTATCGTGTGTCTTAGTTCAGACTGCTATAACAGAGCACCATCGACTGGTGGCTTATAAACAACAAGCGTAACTCACAGTTCTGGAGGCGGGAAGTCTGAGATTAGGGGCCAGCACAGACAGGTTCTGGCGAGCAACTGCTTCCCAGTCGTGGACAGACCTTTTCTTATTGTCGCCTCACGTGGTGGACAGTTTTCTGGGGTTCCTTTTATAAGGGCGCTAATCCCATTCATGAGTGTTCCACCCTAATCACCTAATGACCTAATCACCTCCAAAGGCCCCGCCTCCTCTTACATCACTCTAGGGGTTAGGATTTCAACAGACGAATGCTGGGGGTGGGGGGGCACACACATTCCACCATGGCATTGTGTTTGGCTATTTTCCTGGCTACTGCCATCTTCCTGGACAGGAACTTCAGTCCTGCAAGAGCAGGGGTGCTAGCTCTCGTGATCACTACCCCCCAGACCTGGAACAGTGCCTGGAATAGCACCTGGCAGGTGGAAAGTGCTCAGCACAGTGTCTAGAGCGAGTGAACACCCTGCAGGAGGCAAGACAGTCACTGCCTCAGTAGGCTTTTGCTGCGGAACCCAAAACTTAGTGGTTTAATACAGCAATGATCAATGATTTCTCCCAATGCCTTGGGTCAGAAATTTGGGTAGGGCTCAGCTCCACATGGCATCAGCGAGGGTCGCTCCCACACCCTTCTGGAACTCACATGGCTTCCAGATGGCATCTCCATGCGGTTAGTCAGACTTGATGACAGCTGGCTTCTGAGGGAGGATGCAGAGCTGCCAGGCTTCTTGAGGGCCAAGCACAGTCCTGGCCCCACCACTTCACCACATTCTGTTGGTCCAGGCAAGTCCCGGGCAAGCCCAGATAAAGGGGGTTGGGGAGGGGGAATGCCCACCTTCCAGTGGGCAGGGCATACAGGAAGGAAGGAACTAGTGGCAGCCATCTTTGCTCACTACCACAGTCACTACCGATAACCCAATAGTGGTGCTTCTCAAACTGGATTGTGCACATGCACCATTTGACCCCTTGTTAAAATGGAGATGATGATATAGTAAGTCTGCAGTGTGGCCTGAGATTCTGCATTCCGAACAAGCTCCCAGGAGATGCCAAGCCTTGGGTCCATGACCATCAGAACCACCGGCAAGGCTGTATTAGAGTGCATCCTGTCAGGGCTTGCTTATGTTTAGGTTTGGCCCCAGACACAACCACTGGTGCATCATTCCCCTGGGTTAAGCATTGCCCATTACCACCAGGGTCCATGTGATCAGTTCCTTCTCCCCTGGTCTCCAGGCTTGTGCCCACAAGAACCATCCCACTCCATATTCCAAATGCTTCCCACACTTTGCTTCACCAAGCTCCACAGCTCCTTCCTCCTTTTCTCTAATATTGGATTCCCACCACACCTCTTGTAAAATTGGTGGGGCGGGGCTTTTTCAGTTACAAGCTATAATCAAACTCAAAATAGTTTAATGGAAAAGGATTGATGGCATGCCATGGCTTCAGGAATGGCTGGATCCAGCCCCTCAGTGATGTTGTCAGAAAACTTTCACCATCATCAGCTCTGCCTCCCCCTAGAGATCTCTCTGGCAGGCTTTCCCAAAATGAAGGAAGAGATGACCCCTGCTTTGCAACCACACCAGGAAGAAGACACCATTTATTTCCTAATCTTTCCAGCAAAAGTACCAGAGTGCTCTCTGCTTGGTCCCACTGGAGTCCCATGTCCACAATGAACTAATCATGGCGGCCAGGAGGATGTGTTACCTCAACGGGCAGGCCTTGGTCATACGTATGCTCCTGGAGCCAGGTAGTGAGGCCAGCTCCACCCAGGCCACACGGAATGGGGTCAAGAAAGGTGCAAAAATCAGAAAGAAGAGAGAGCTCTTGAGAAGCTAAGAACTCCCCACAGTTCACCATGAGAACAGGTGTTCTGTGATGGCTGGGGAAGCAGAGGGCAGGGGCCTTACTGATGTCAGGGAGCCCACAGCCAGCCAGGCCTCTTGGCCCCCAGCACTGACTCAGAGGGGCTAAGACCTTTAGTACCAGAAAAGACTTGAAAATTAGCCAAGGCACGTTCCACAGAACACTGGCCCAAGGGATGTTAATTGATGTTACTTAAAAGGCTGTGTGGTCCAGGAAGCTTAAGGAGTGGGTTAGGCTAAGACGGCAGTTGCCTTGCTGCACAGGACTTGTCAGGGACCTTGAGTAAGCTGGAGTAAACTGTGAATCCTCAAGAGTAAGGGGAAGAAGATGAAGGCTATTGTTCTTTTGAGCACACTTTGGAAAATTATCAACCTAACTCCACCTCACCCATTTTATAGATGAATCAACTGAGGCTGAGAAAGGGACCGTGATTGGGGCAAGTTAGTGTAACTCGTTAGTATGGAGTTTCTCCCCTGCTGCTATGACATTGACAAATCTGATGCTGCATTGGAAGAGTTGCCTTGTAGTTCAGGGTGGCCTGTGCCCCAAGAGCTGGTTGTTTTCCTTCCCCGTGAAAGGTGTTTTCCTCTCCCCCAGACATCCCCTGCAATGACCCTTAGGCTTCCGTGGCATGGCCCCTGTGAGGGGCTCTAGGCTCCCTGAGTGTTGACCCTTGCCTGGGACCTGCCCTTTGCCACTGCCAGCCTGATGGGAACCACTGACCAGGCAGGAAGCCCTGTGGGTCTGGACTTAGAAAAACACAGCCACCCGCCCAGCAAGATGGCAGCATTCTGAGGTTGAAGAGGCTCCAAGGTTGGCCAGACGTGGAAGAGTAGCAACAGCCAGCGCACTAGGAGTGCCAGACAGGAGGGGCCCGGGGAAGATCAGGTTCCTGGGGCCAGGCATGCCCCGTAAATCCAGACAGAGATTGTGCGTCAGGGCCGCGCCGTGAGGTGGTGGTTATCACAACAGCATCTTTGAGGACTTCTCTGGTGCGAGCACTTCATATGTAGTGCTTCTAAGCCACTCAATGGCCCACATTTACAAACAATAGAAAGTGGCCATTGGTCAGTTGGCAGAACTCACAAGAATTAGCTCAACATGAAGGACTCAAGCTCCTCTCCTTGCCAAGGACACAGTTGTGGATGTGTTATTGAACCTCGTTAAGCTTCAGTTTTCTTACCGGTTAAATGGGGCTAAAATGAGCTCCTGCCTCACAGCTTTATTATGAGGATTGTACATATATATATATGTATGTATGTATGTATGGCTTCAATGTGCCTCCATAGTAAGGACTTCTTATGTGATGGTGGTAATGGAGAGGTGGGCTCAGGTCCAAGTTCCCAGCTAGACAGGGGCAAAGCCAAGATCAAACACAGGTCCCGCCAATGCCCTGGCTTGGCTCTTTTCTGCCCCTGCAACTCAGAGAAGCAACACTGAGCAGACAGCAATGGCTCAGAGCCCAGGGAGTGCAAAGGGCTTTTTCAGGTCTTCCTCTGTATGAGAGGGGGGATGGCATCTGTGTCTCTTTGGTCACTTCCAGGTAACTCTATCCAAAGACCAGGTGGAGAAGTCGATGTCGAGAGCAGAGCCAGCACCAAGCATGACTTGGGTGGGCACCTGCCATCAGCAGTCAAGGCCCAGGAGGGAAGAGATTGGGGACCACACCCTAGCATTTTCAGCCAGGTCTACATGGACTGGAAACCATGTCTCCACCAGTGGATGCTTTTCTTCCCCATTAATTGAGATATAATTGACATATACTATTATATTAGTTTCAGGTGTAAAACATGACTTACTATTCGTATATATTGCAAAATATATAGTCTAGTTACCATCCAATACCATACATAGTTACAAATTTTTAAGAACTTCTAAGATCTACTCTCTAAGCAACTTCCAAATATACACTTTTATTAACTATGGTCACTATGCTGTACGTTATATCCCTGTGACTTATTTATTTTATAATGGGAAGTTTGTGCCTTTTGACTCTCTTCTCCCATTTTACCCACCCCCACCCCCCACCTCTGGCAACCACCAATCTGTTCTCTGTATCTATGAGCTCAGTTTGTTTTTATTTGTTTGTTTGTGTTTTAGGTTCCACATATAAGTGAAATCATGTGGTATTTGTCTTTCCCTGACTTATTTAACTTAGCATAATGCCCTCAAGTTTCATGTTATTGCAAATGGTAAGATTTCCTTCTTTCTTATGGCTGAATAATACTCCATTTTATGTATATACCACATTTTCTTTATTCATTCTTCCATCAGTAGACACTTAGGTTGTTACTACGTTTTGGCTCTTGTAAATAATGCTGCAATGAACATGGGGGTACAGATATCTTTTCAAATTAGCATTTTCGTTTTCTTTAGATTAACAGCCA